GTCTATAGGCTGACTCGTCGTCATCTCGGATGAGACCAATGACCATTGTGTCATCAGCAAACTTTAGGAGCTTGACAGAGGGGTCCTTCGAGATGCAGTTATTGGTGTAGAATGAAAACAGCAGAGGGAAGAGCACACATCCCTGGGGGGGGGGCGCCTGTGCTGATTGTCCTGGTGCCCCCAGGGATGTGTGCTCTCTCCTCTGCTAATGGTTAGATTAAAGTGCAGTAATTTTAACCGGGCATAAAAATGTTAATTGGGTTTATAAATATATACACTAAAACTGTACAGTAATATAATTGTGAGTTTTTGCTTTTTTCTCATAGTGAACAATGGAGACAGAATCAGAATAATCTTTACTGGCCAGGTGTGTTGAACATATGAGGAATTTGATTCTGGTATGGTGGCTTTCACTGTGCATGTACAATGTTCTTCCATAAGGCAACAAGGAAACAAGAAAAGGGAACATGCATTTAGGAAAAAAATAGAGAAAAGGAATAATAAAAGTATTTTTAAAATATGTGTATATACACACATTTTAGTTTCTAGATAGATTTATGCAAATGTGTATTTACAGGTATTGTAAGGGGGTTATTGTTCTGCTGTACAGTCATCCGTTAAGTGTTCATCAGTGTGACGGAGGAAAGTAGAGGATATGATCACATGGTGTGAGGGCAACAACCTCACTGAACATCAGTAAGACCAGAGAGATGGTCATAGAAATTAGGTGGGCTGAGTTGTTGCCTCTTATGACTGGGGACTCTGAGGTTGTAAGAGTGGAGAGCTAGGAAAGCTACAGGTTTCTGGGAGTGCACATCAGCAAGGATTTAAAGTGCAGTTGGCAAAGAATGCTAATCAGAGAATATACTTCATGCAGAGACTGAGGAGGTTTGGTTTGCAATCTCAAGTTCTCAGCCACTTTTATAGATGTATCATTGATTTTGATGGCTTAGAAAATCGTAGGGGCAGAATATTTGATATCAAGTGAGTGAAGCCTTTCCCAATTACGTTCATTGGCCTGTATGTGGACTGAATTCATGTTCAAGTTTACTAGTTGCAAACTGAATGATTCAGTTCAAACATTCACCAAAACGTCAGCGTGTCCATACACAACACTGTTCAAAGGAAACCTATAGACAAGTGCTTGCATTTGATAGAATGACTAAACAAAAAAGCAACTCCACCCTGCTTTCTTATATGCTCTGGTTTCACTCATAAACGAGTAAGAACTTCTGCACTGATACCCTGGGCTGACCACATTTTGTTTAAAAATATAACACCAAGATTGTGTGTTGCAATTACACAAAAAGACCTGGAATGTAATAAGTCTAAGTTTAGTGTGTTAAAAGCATTCTCTGCCAATTTAACACTTTTAAGTGACAGGTTTGAAGAGAGACTATTGCTGCTGGTGCTTTTGGCAGTCATGTAGAACTATGTGATCAATTTTGGCATGATGATTTTTAAGTTGAGGATTGTCCTTCTTTGATGTGACAGGCCACAACATCTGGATACCAGTATGTCTTACTGTTGGCTGTTGTTGGTGACACCACTAATACTTTCACATCCACACTTATCAGCATCCATTTCAACTTCTGCCTCACTGAATTTTTTCAAGTTCAAAACTCTTTTCTGGTTGCAGAGTCTGGGGTGGCTATGGTGCCAGCTGGAGACAGATAGTTGAGATGAATCCACAAATGTCACCCTCTGTTGGAGTACAGTGAATATGAAGAACAGCATCTGAAAGACAGACAGTATAGCAATGCAAATCCATTTTCCTCTAATGAGAGACTGAGTGGTTGTCCAATGTGAGATGTCATTGTCCACAATTACTTTTGAAGGTTGATCACAAGGTTGATGATATTTTTTGTTTAATCAAAATAATATTTGTGCTTAACATTTTTTATTGAGGTAATTTAATGATCACAAACTCATTTGGTTGAGAACACTCTTCTGAGAGGTGCAAGAGGCCACTGCAAATGTGACAAAAATAAACAAAAATGATCAACTATAGAAAGGTTACAAATTATTTCAGTTTACAAACTTTACCATCTTTACATTAAAGGTAGGGTTGGTGACCTGGAAAAAAACAGTTCAATTTTGAAAGTAGACAATGGAAGAAACCCCAGCCTTTCATTCTGACTTCTCTCCAAAGCAACAAAAAATGTTCATATGATTTCATACTTTGTTTTGTTGTGTTGTGTTTGTACAAATGGCCAGTACTGCAAAATATTATAGAATGTTTTCAACAACCCTCGTCTACAGTATTTGTGCATTTACTGAATGTTGAAGGCTTAAATGTTTTAAATGGTGATGCTTGTTTGTGCCACATTTAATTGGGCTGTGTGTATGTCATCCATGTGTTTCCATATCTATGTGATTTTGATGTTTCATAATTTTTATCTCTTTTTAAATGCGAACCTGTAATCTGGAATAATATAAGTAGATTAAATAATAGGGAAATTAACCTTCTGGTTGGTCTTCTGTCACTCAGAGATGTAATAGAGTGCACAGCAGTTTGGGTAGGAAGTAGAATACATCAGTGGACAATGTAAAGAAGGTAGTGAAATAAATATAGGTATTTTTCTTTTTTAATTCAAACAGCGGAAACCGTGTTTAGTTCATTAGAGCAAAGAAAGAAAGAAAGATCCTAGTGTGGCTGGAATCAGATCCAGTTATTCTTTATAAAGGGTTCAACTAAGTGAATGTCACTGCAGTTTATATGCTCTCGATAAAATCTTGAAATATCTTTATCTTATGTATCAATACAGAATTAAACAAGATCTTGTTGGTTTTTGGGAGAGGTTTGTGCTGGAGCTGTTTTTTCAACAGCTGGATGCAACTACAAATTATAAAGAATGGAACTGTAACATGTCTTGTATCCTTATTTCCTTCCTCTTTCTAATCCACCCACCCCCTTCTCATTCTTTGTAGTTTCATCTTGCATCACCACCTATAAGAAAACCCCTCCACCAGTGCCGCCCCGAAACTCCACCTGCTCCACAGCCTCCAAGCCCTACATCTCCATCACAGCCCAGAGCAGCACAGAGTCTGCACAGGTACTGCACAAAAACTATTATGTTAATCTGCCCCTCATGTAGTGAAAGAACATTAGAACATCTATCTGTGAAATAATGTACATTATAGATAAGGGTGAAACTACCCTGGCAGCTTATCCACACAGTTTCCCTCTGAGTGTGGTGGGTTTCCCTCTGTAGTTCTGGATGTTCAGACACTTCAAAAGGGGAGGTATAGACACCTGCACCAAACTACTAGTTCACTTCCAAGAGAATCTCTCAACAAACACAAGCAAACTATCCAGAACACAAGGCTCTGTCTGAACACTAGGAATGCATACCTAACATGTCTTGTGATCTAAGATTACAGTTGGAAGACGAGCACCATGAACCATCTGTGTAGGAGACAGTCCTGTGAGAGATTAAAAAGTCCCCCTCCTGTCACTCGAGGTGTCATCTGAGTAATTTATGGCTTTGATTGATGTGGCCCTGATAAGTCATGCTTCTGACCACTGGGATTGGCTTTCTTTAAAAATATCTCCTGTCAAAATTATACAAACTCAAAATATGAACATGCTGCAAAAAACCTGAAAATATAAATTAAAATTGTGCTTTTAAGTAAAAGTTAAAATAATAACAAATCAAAACATTCCATTTTCTTTGCTCTTATGCTATTTTGTCAGAGCTGGATGCTTGGCATCTTTTCTTGGCAACAAGTTCGTTTATGTTTGGGGTAAGGTTCTGTGTTATGGAGGTTCTCAGGATGGACTGCAAGTGCTGATCAGTGAGACGACTCCTGTGTGATGTTCTGTTAATCTTCATCACAGAGAACAGCTTCTCACACAGATATGTGCTACCAAATGTACACAAGGTTCGAGCCGCATGTAGACGGAGCTGGGGCATTGCTTCAGGAATGAAGCGAGTGAACTGTGCAGGCCCCACATTGTCGAATTTGCCTTTAGTGTCCAATTTCACTGCAGCTCTATCAGCTCCATCTGAATCTGTACAGGTGTAATTACAGCCACATTAGCTCCACAAATAATTCACACGGGTTTACCGACAATGTCAGTAAACATATACTCAGCCTCCCACCGGTTTTGAAAAGCTTTGTTTCAGAATCAACTTTTCTCTTGGCCATTGTTAGGGGCTAGCTTTGACTTGAAATTAGGGTTGTATACATAAACAGACGCTTGATTGATCTGATGTAATTGACGAGGGAATGATCGCAGGTAGCCTATCATTCGGTAAGGCAGCTGTTGCGCTGCATTATGGGATTTGTAGTGTGTGTGTTGTCAGCTCTTCATACCACCAGGCCATTAAAAAGAGATATATAAAATGATCTCGCGGGCCGGATGTAATTGTACGCCAGGCCGGATGTGGCCCGGAGGCCTTGAGTTTGACACACGTGGCCTAATATAATCGTTTGAGGATCATATGAAAATGATGGCTAATTTGTTCCCATGAGAAACCCCTGTTTTATTGATGCCAGATGTAAATTTATGACTTGTAGGTGTGTGGCTGTATATTAATAAAGCCATAAAATCCAGAAAACAGTGTCGGTGGGTGGGAGTGGGGGGTCGGAAGCATGACTCATCAGTCAAGTCATTCAGATAACACCACAAGTGACAGGAGGGGGACTTTATGTCTCTGTCCTGGATGCATCTCCCAGAAATAGTCCAGATGCAGTTTTGCATTGTATGTACACTTTGAGGGCAGAGACACACCAAGCCTACACTTGGCCTTCTTTGGGCCATTGGTAAGCGTCTGTCGGGACTTGTCTTCCTGTCGTGCCCCACACCATTGGCACTAGTTTTCAGCTCATTCGACATGTTGAACCTGTGTTGGTTGGTTGAGCCTCATCGGTGACAGAGAGCCCACTCTGATTTCCTGTTGAGCTCAGCAAATCAATGCAGTGTCCAGTGACACTGAGAATCCAGTAGAGTGTACCACACAGCCATGTTTTTGTTTTTATTGATGACATCAGCAAATAGTCGACTCAACTTTTGACTCTACAAATTTTAGGTTATGCAACCCCTAGTCCTACCAGACAGATAATTTGAAAACAAGCCTACTGGTAGGTCAGACAGTCAATGTTAAGTAACCAAACCTTAATAGGGCACGATCCACAGTATCATAGGTTCTTTTGTTTACCCTGTTAGCATGAGCATTCACTGCTATTCCTTGTTAAATTTGAGCCACAGTTAATGTACCATAATGACACACCTTGCATTTTCATTAGTATTGGATGTTAAACGTTTTTTGTTTATCAATGCAGGCACACTGGTGGTAGAATTGGTGCTAAGGTAGAGTAGGCTAAATTAGCAGCATGGCTAATGGAAACTCTCGGGTTGGAAACATGAATGAAGCCACAAATGTCGACTCATCACAAGGTGGCCATATTGTACATGCCTACAGCCCTCTCAGTGTCCCTTTTAGTCGCAATGATACAATGGTCACTTTTTAATTCACAAACCCACCGATTGCTTGGCATTTATGCGGGTCACTAGTTAGAATTTAGTTCATTAATGAGGATTTTCTTACGAATTTAAAGTTTGGATGTGTGAGACTATCAACAATTTGAGTGAATTTTAGAGGAGCACATAAATCCTTGAAAGCATTAAATAATCATCATTTTTGCCGTTGACCAGTCCCAATTTAGGTTGCCTAACAAAACAAACGTCTTGTAATCAATGTGAGATAATTATTGAGCCTAGGAGATCAAAGATTCACTCACTGGCAGCCTTTAATATCCTTCAACTATAATGTTAAGGCCAGAAATTAGTTCAAGTTTTAAATCCAAGTTCAAATTGTTTTGCTTATAGATTTGAAGACTAAAATACTTGTCTTAAATTTACATATATGGTAACACACCCACCCCTTTTAGGTCAGTCTGTGCAAAAATATTTTAGCCAGGTATAATGATATCAGTGTCCAGAATTTACTTCATGAGCCATGTTTCAGATAAAGTAGTAACAACAGCATAATTACACTGTGCCAGATGTGATCCCTCACATCCTCTGTTCAGCTGACTGTGTGTGAGAAAAAGAAGCAAAAGAACATGACCTCTTTAATCTGACAGCCACTGTTTTAGCAGATACAGTCAGTAAGTGCTCCTTCGTGGCTGGCTGCTGTTGGATGGTTGGCCTTCAAAAAAAGGCTTCTTAGAACATTCACTAGGTGGCTAATGTCCAGACTGACTATCAAAACAAAGGGTGTAAAAACTAGAATAATAACAGAAGGGCTGTAGGCAGCAGAGTGTAATTTAGGGAGCTAAACTAAGTGCCCCAGAAACATACTGTGCTGTGCAGTATAGAGGCCTAATGTAGTCCACCATCGCACCTGTTTTTTTTTTTTTGTTGTTGTTGTTGTTTTTGGCATTACATTATTCACACATCAGTAAACCAAAAAGCCTTTCAAATTCAAAATGCAGGCCTTACCCGCAGACAGGCACACCTAGCATCCAAACTAAATCCAGCTGGAAACACAATGAGCCCCATCTTCCTAATTTTTTTCTTAAGTTTGTTCTTAAGAAAAGTCCTAAGAAAAGTCTATGTCTGATTCATGAACTGCAGAATTGTTCACACCTCTGCTCTTATAATGATGAATCCCATTGTGTTTGTACTGTACATTGGAAGTGGATGTCAGTCATTCTTATTTAGCAAAGGTAAACACCTTGCCAATTCCCATAAAAGGGCATGAGACTGGATGGCTGTGTACACATAAGAATCTTACACAGAACTTGAAAAGAAAAGCTGAGGAAGTCAGAAATGCTAAAACAAAAATCTAAAGAGAGTGCAGCGTTGGACTCCAAACTGAAGAAAAACTGGTTCTAAAGTGGAGAACAGCAAATGAGCTGTCATACAGTATTTAGTTAGGTCAGTAGTGGATATAAAATAAAACAAAAAAGATGCACAGGATGCTCTTACTCATTCAGTGAATGCTGTATAAAGAGGACACACAACTGGTGAATTAAAAAGATGGTTTAATCTCAAATCTGAGGCAACCAAACAAACCTGGGAGAAGAGATGCTGATCAGTGGTGGAGGACAGGCTTGCCCAGTGTAATCTCAACAGGACCACCACGTTGGGGCCATACACGGCTCTCTTTCGGGTGTCCTGCCAGCTAAGCGTACCTTCATGCGTGCACACAGACTGAAGTAGCAGCTTGGATTTGGAGTAATGATTCAGAGACCCTTGGAAGATAAAGAAGTAACATTAGAAACAAGGGGAAGCATTGTTGTGAGTTTAACAACTGTAATTTGAAGAAATGGAGGATCATAGTTATACTTTAACACAGGAAAAAGGAAGACAGCTCGAATCAACAAAGAAGCAAAGACATGAAGAAATGGGATAAGCGACGGCACACGACGAGGATAAACAGTGGTGTGGCTTTTCCCAGATGGAAACCTTGAAGAAGGACAAATGTTTCCAGAATGATGCCAAAGTTGCCTGTTTTCTCCTGGACAGATGATTTAGTCTAACAAGTAAAATTGCCCTAAGTGCAGGTTTTAGTGTGTTAGCTTCAACTAGAACATGGCTAGTGCTGGATAACCCACTGTGGTCATGTGAGCTGCCATTAGCTTTTGATTGGTCAAGTCAGCCACAAATGCTTTTTCAAGTGCGCAATTTGTCCTACATTTACGGCAATCGCTGTGAGGGCTGTTTAACTCCTCCTGAAATCTATTTCCACTGTTTTGAGCTTGTTCAGCTCCAGGTTGTTGTGAGTGTAGCACAGACTCAGCTGTTCAAACTGCCACCTGTAGTCCGACTTGTCACCATCTCATATAAGACTGATGACCGTTGTGTCATCTGCAAACTTCAGAAGCTTTACAGAGGGGTCCACTGAGGTGCAGTCATTCGTGTAGAGGAAGAACAGCAGAGGGGAGAGCACACATACAGTACCTGGAGGTGGCTTTCCTGATAGTCTGGGTGCTGGATGTGGTTTTCCCCAGCCTCACCTGCTGCTTCCTGTCTGACAGAAAGCTGGTGACCCACTGACAGGTGGGGGCAGGCACAGTGAGCTGAGTCAGTTTGGAGTGGAGG